GTGTTTATCAAACTTTAAATAGACTAAATCAGAGAACAAGGATGAAAGAACACAGCTTTAAACAAGAATAAAGTTTCATTTAAGATGTAGCCAATCTGTTAACAGTATAGCAAATACTGATTACAAGCCCTTTCCGGACATAAGTGGTTTAGGAGGGGACAATGATCTAACTTCAGGCGCAGAACTAGGAAAAAGAATGTTCAATTTGTGCATGAGGATGTCGGCCCTTGACGGCATCTCGTTTAAAAGAAACTGCTGAACAATTGGTTTCTTAAACCACTCCATAACAGAATCTCCAGGAGCCCTCAAAACGACCTTGCTAACTTCAAATGGGGATTCGACTGAGCTCAACATCTGGGCAACCACAATCTTCAGTGTCGGTCCTGTAACCAATTTGATCCGCCTAGGGACAACACCATAATACAGCATACGCTTTCTGAACCTATGGAGGGTGTGCACAACAGCTACAAGAGCAGCTCCCACTGATAAGTTTCTAACGTCAAGGGACCAGGCAATCTGCTGATCGAAAACTATTGCCTTCGGGAAAAGCTTGTTCTCGTAGGCAACTTTCCAAACACAGCGAGCTCTGTTTATCTGCCCCATAAGGACAAGGTAGTTGAGGAGAACATTGACAAAGTACCTTGCAGCACCTTCTTCCAACTCATAATCGATACCTTGAAAAAATTCTCTCACAAAAGATAAGACTGGCTGTTTTCTCTGTTCTGGACCAGTGAAGAGTCCACACATAAACCCATGAGCTTTGTGCTTTGTAGCACTAAGAATTGACATCAAATGCCTCTCATTTTGCTCGTCCTGGCATCGTACCAAGTGAGCAAGAATCGATGTGTAAAGAATGAGATCCACTTTGGCAGCAGAGTTCACATAGGTCTCCAGGAGAGGCTTTGCTGACTCAAATAGACCATTCTTCATACAGGACTCAAACAACTGTCTGATGATAAAATTATTTGTTCTAATTCCTGATGAACCCATAAACCGTAACCATTTAAGGGCAAGATCAACAGAACCATCTTTGATATAAACCATCAGAACATCACTAGCACTCACATCAATCGAAAATCCCATGGACTTCATTTCAAGTAGTACTTTTGCAGCCACATCCACAAGCTTCTTATTAGCCAAGAGCGTTAGAAGGGCAGTATAAGTGCTCAACCCAGGCCTCAGGCCTGCATTGGTCATTGAGTTATACAGTCTCATGGCAGAATCTACTTGTCCAGAAGCAGCATGCATTTCCAAGAGAGATGAGTAGGTAGATGGAGTAGGTAGAAACCCAGCCTTCTCCATATCTTTAAAAGTAGACATTGCAATTTCAAGCTTCCCTGATTTTGCATGGGACTCGATAATCAGTGTATATAAGCCAAAGTTTGGTCTATAACCTGCCTTTTTCATGTCATCCCAAAGCCTAAGTGCAGAGTCTAGCTTCCCAGCTTTAGCAAAGGACTCAATCAAAGAAACATACATAGTGGCAGATGGCCTAAGGCCGCAACCCTGTGCCTCCATGTAAATCTTAATAGATGCATCAAGCCTCCCAGCTTTCCCCATTGAATCAACAAGTGATGCAAAGACACTCAGGCTTGGCCGCAATTTCCTTTCTTTCATCTCTTGAAAAAGCTTAGATGCAGCATCAAGACGACCAGATTTTGCCAAGCTTGGTATCATCAACTCATATGTGGATTCATCCAGCAAACATCCTGCCACCTCCATGCTCCCATATATCTCAAACGCCTTAAAAGGCAACCCTTTATGCAAAAACAGGGTCATAAGAGCATTGTATGTTTGAGTATCAACTTTGTAACCAGATTCCTGAGCCTTCTTAAAACAACAAAATGACACCTCCAATTTCTCAGCTTTAGCCAGATACTGAATGACCCGATTATATGCACTGAATGAGGAAACCCCGTTATTGCTCGAATCTTGAATCATCTCATCAAATAGTGATTGAATCCCATTGAAATCTCTATCTCTATTTAACCGATCAAACAACATAATATAACACTCATCACTTGGTGAATACCAAGATTGTCTCTTAGCCCACCTAAGCAAACTCAATGATGCATCACTCTCATTAATAACCTTCAGGGCTTGAGTTATATGAGTCATGTTTGGCAGGAATTGTAGCTTGTCCAATTGTGTCTCCAATTCTGGGCCCCATTTCCACCTCTTCACAACTTCAACAATCTTTGCGACAGCTGAAGCATTCAAGAATGGCTTCTTTAGCTCACCCACCATTACATGGTCATCAACCCCTGGCTCCACCGACCTTAAACCTTTACCAGAGTATATAATACTCCCTGATTCATCCAAATACTCAATCTCATCAGTCCACTCACCAGACCCATCATCACTCTTCTCCCCTGAGCAGTAGCTTCTGAATAAGCTAATGTTTCTTTCGTAACTGGGGTTTTTGGACATGAAAAAAATTGGAGAAAAAGAATTGACACCTATTATAGAGCTAAAGCAACCAAATTTATTGCACCAATTGGCTGCATTTGTGAAAGAAATGGGATTTTGTGAGCTAAATGTGTGAAAAGGAGACCTAGAGCTAGGGTTTTGGGTGAGCCTGAAATATAGAATTCTAGGATTGAATTGACGTCTACCACTGTGAAAAATCATTGAGTTAAGTAAAAGCAATCGGGATGAGCTGCAGAATGCTTACAGATTGATGCAGTTTTACTGCCTCTTTCACAGCAAAAGCTTAAACCTTAATTTGTCGGCTTTGATAAATTTTAGTGTGACACACTGTAACACAACAGAACTGAAGGTCTGCCTCTAAACTTCTGCATGAGACACAATTGTTATTGGATGGTGACACTTCCGTTTGAGGAGAAAGAATTAAGTGGTCCATTTAGTTCCTCTCCTGATAAGCAAAGAGACCAAATCAATGAAACTCATTAGCAAGTAATCAAATAGAAAGAACAGAAACAAATTTAACACATTGACTAATTGAAGATTGCATAAAGAAATGATTAATAGGTCTAGCAGTCTAGGTCTTTATTCTTTGCCCCAGAACAGAAAAGAAAAGGGAAACCAAGATTGGTAGAGGACTGAATACCTAAAATCTATTATGCAGAACATGCTAGATAACAGATTCAAAAGCGAAGTATACATTTAATATGCAAAAGTTGCAGTGTTGCAGAAAGGTATCAAAAATTGCACAAACATACCATTTATAAAATTTAAAGCAGAAAAAGCTATTAAAATGAAGAAAAAATATACAAACTAAATCAAAAAAACGAAATTGGCCGACCAAATATCCCTTTAAGCATCACAAAATTATTTCTACATGTTACATATATCAAAAACCTAATCTTTTCTCTAACACCCACTATTGAATCAAAGAGAAAAAACGAAAAAGATTTGACTTTTCGCAGAGTTACAAATTCTTAGTAGCCAATCAAAGTTTCAATCGATAAATGCATAAAGAAATTGAGGAACAATTCGAAAACCAATCACCAAGAACTTGTTCAAACAATAACGAAGGAACCTACCATGACTGGGGGGCGCAAGAGAGGTCGGAGGTCGAGGGTGGGAAGAGAGAGACTGCGGGAAAGGGAGCTGCTTTCACCGTCGCCGTCGGAGGTTTAAGTTGAGTGGGCTTCTGACTATTGGGTGTGGGCCGTGTGGTTGCTGAATCAATTTTAGACAAGAAGTATGGGGCTGGGCTGAAAGGTTTTCCAACAAATTTTAAAAAATTTTATTTTTCTATCAGCAAATAAATTATTATTATTTATTTTTTTGATTTTTAATTTTGCAATAAGAAGCGTTTCATCTTTTTAATTATTTCACTTGCATACCATATAATACCATATTACTTGAATAAAAAGCTTTTAACTTCTAAAATGAGATAAATATTACTAAATTACTTAAATTATTAATAAAAAAATTAACATTTTGTTATTGCTATAATGATAGCCACTTAGAATTTTGAAACCTTCTTGTCAAGTCAACAGCTGACTTTTTTATTCAATTAGCATTTTTTTTTTTTTTGGGAAATCAAAGTTTCCAACAAAATTATGTAAAGATAACACAATGTTACTCCATTTTGTCCTTACTTTTTTTTTTTCTTTTAGAACTAATTATAAAATTTTGATTTGACATTAACGTAAGAAGAGATTGAAAAAATATTTACT